GTGTGTGTGTGTGTGTGTGTGTGTGTGTGTGTTTTGTATTCGCTGAACACAACGCCACAAGGAAAGGGTGCCAGTGACAAACACCGTTTCATCGGAGTTTCACCAACTGTGTAGGTGTAGAAGCTTTGAAACACAGCTGAACTCAGAAAAACTCGACTGCATTGTCAAGCTTCGACTGGAGACTCGTCATATTTCATTTTATCATAACACGAATCGTCCCTCGCTTGTTTTTATCTGATCTGTTTTGCTTCTTTTGTTCAGTTATGGATGACTACCAGCTGCCAGCACAATGAGCCATCACAAACTCACTCACTCACTCACTCGAGACTCCCAACTCGCTGAACCTCCAACGGCTCTCTGGTATGGCAAGCAGACTATCACGTCATACACAAGTCTGCAAAAAAGACAAAATACTAGGAAAGAGACTTGCTCGTACAACAAAAATCATTATCTAGTAGAAGGTTTCAAAGCGGGTTTAAGGAGGGTTTAAGGAGGGTTCAAGGAGGGTTCAAGAAAGGTTCGAGGCAGGTTGAAGGAGGTACAAGGAGGGTTCAAGGCAGATTCAAGGAGGTACAAGGAGAGTTCAAGGAGGGTTTAATGGGTTCTTCAGGAGGTCTTAAGGGGGTCTTTAGGGGGTCTTTAGGGGGTCTTCAGGGGGTCTTCAGGGGGTCTTAAGGGGGTCTTAAGGGGGTCTTAAGACTTAAGGGGGTCTTAAGGGGGTCTTCAGGGGGTCTTCAGGGGTTCTTTAGGGGTTCTTTAGGGGTTCTTTAGGGGTTCTTTAGGGGTTCTTTAGGGGGTCTTCAGGGGGTCTTCCGGGGGTCTTCAGGGGGTCTTCAGGGGGTCTTCAGGGGGTCTTCAGGGGGTCTTAAGGGGTAATGAAGGAATGGACATTACAGCAACAGACACTATCGACACTATTGAAAGGATTTCACGCATCTCAGCATCTTAGTCCCAGTCCCATTTGGTAGGTCCCCTATAGCTGTCCTTTTCATAGGTAAAGTGGGCCGATAGGTTAGGCGATTCCGGTAGGCTCAGTCCGTTATGGGAGTCTAGTCAGTTCAGTCCACTCAGCGAGTCAGTCCACACAGTCCTACAGAAATTTTCACAGTAATTCCTTTGTGTTTACAATATCAACTTCGAAAAGACGCTAGCAGTTACGTCGCAGTCCCAGGAAAGCCAGTCGAGACTCCGGATGCGTCGAAGGCCGACCGCGCCCAGCAGGGTCAGGGTACCAATGTGAACAAGTCCAAGATTGGGAACTGCAGCGAAGAACAAAAGTCCAGCAGCAGCGAACCGTCAACACAAATTGCCATTCAAGCATGCTGCAGAAGTGCTGCTGTGGTCATATGCGACCACGCATCGAACTGAGGCTGACAGACCGTCGTGTAGTCATGTCGACAGCGCCATGCGCCATAGCTTAGTAAGTGAGAGAGGAATTATTGAGAGAGGAAGACATTCAGAGAGAGTTTGAGGCCTGAGAGTACAGTGTGTGTGTGTGTGTGGGGGGAGAGAGAGAGAGAGAGAGAGAGAGAGAGAGAGAGAGAGAGAGAGAGAGAGAGAGAGAGAGAGAGAGAGAGAGACAGAGACAGAGACAAAAGACATCAACGACTGCCCAACAACTGATACCCTGAGGTGGGCACCAACCACTGCCCTCATCATTTCTATTATAAGCATAGAAATAATGAAAAATCTATCATTTTATGATTTTACTTATTGTAAACATATTAAATATATTATTACATATCGTCAAACACTATATACATGTACGTATATATATTATACATCATATATATATATATATATAGAGAGAGAGAGAGAGAGAGTGAGAGAGAGAGAGAGAGGGAGTTACCTGTTGGGGTTGTTGGCAGCCATAGCCGCCAGGCACACATTAATTATTAATACAATTTGTTATATTAAGACTTTGAATGCCGGTGAATGGCAGGTGAATACATATGTACATCGCACTATCACAATGCCATCCCCTCACTCGCATACATACGTACGTACATTGCATACTACACTATGCTGACACATACTCCCAGCAGGTCAATGGCAGAATGAGAAACAAGGGAAGGGATGGCAGCAATTCAGGAAGATTGGTACTCGATGAAACGAGTGTCTGTTTTTTTTTTTTTCTCGTACACATATGGAACGGCGGAAAGAAAGCAAAAAAAAAAAAGAGTTTACTAGCCGATAAAGACTACCAGTCATTAAGTGCTCTATCACCCCTCCTCCTCATGAGGATAATTGGATAATTGCCCTCGCACTCCCTCACACATTTCCTCGAGGGATTCGACCTTTGAACCCCTCCCAACTCCTCTCTCCTCTCTCTCCTCTCTCCTCTCTCCTCCTCTTCCCTCTTTTTCCCTCTCACAACAGCCTGCAAAAATGTTGAGAGTTAGTAGAGGAGCAAATATGGACGTCCCAGCAAATCTCTTCTCAAAGAATAACCTCTCTCTCTCTCTCTCTCTCTCTCTCTCTCTCTCTCTCTCTCTCTCTCTCTCTCTCTCNCACACACACACACACACACACACACACACACACACACACACACACACACACACACACAAGCAGACGCACATATTATTATCAAAACACAGGCTTACGGTGGGACTCTTTTAGTCAGGGGTCAGGGGGTGAACCAGAGAGTCTGATAGGGCTGCAGGGTTAATTGTGAGTTAAGTCAACCTGTCCTTCAATAAGCCATCTTTTTCAAAAGCTTAATAAGCTATATAATAACTTTTCTTTTTTTCCCTTCAGTAAAAGCTAAGCTATATTCTTCTCTCAATTTCACCTCCCACTACCTACCTACCTACCACTACTCCTGAGCCTATACAGGGGACCCCGGGGGCGAGGTCCCATTGGCAAAGAGGACTGGATTGAACGCTTGAACGTAGACGTGTTCGTGGAAAGGTGCAGAAATTCGGGTTTGAACTGCTTTTCAGCAGCTCTGCTTTAAACACGTCCAGATTCAGGAGCTGAATCCAATCCTCTTTGCTAAAAGGACCTCGCCCCTGTAATAACGAGGGTCACGGTAATTGCCACCGGAAAAAAAAAAAAAAAAAAAAAAAAAAGTAGTAGTAATGAAGGAGGCGTTCCCGAATAGAACACCGGTCATTATAGCTGTATTTGGGCCAATTTTCAGTCTAGGTACGGCGATAATGATGGGGCGTTCTATTCGAGTAAAGACGATAGAGCCCGTGGTGAGGTTCCAATTGCATGGATGAACAGATACTGGCCGTCGATCATTGCTATGCTATCTCGGGACATTTTCTTTAATTATTATTATTTTTTAATTATTCTTAGTTTTTAATTATTATTTTTTTTTTGTTTTTTTTGTTTTTTTATTATTTTTTAAGAAACTGCTCGCTTCTGGACCGCTACTACTCAAGGTGATAAGAGCATCCCCCTTCTTAATAGCTCCCTGGGTAAGGTACAACTAGTAGCAAAGACGACTGGATTCAACGCCTGAATGTGGACGTGTTTGTGGAGAAATGCGCAGAATTGCTGCTATTTGTGGAGAGATGCGAAGTATTGCTATTGATCTGCTTTCCTGCATCTGTCGACAAACACGTCTTGATTCAGGCGTTAAATCCAATCCTCTCTGCTACCTAGTAGTGGGACCTCACCCCCGGTTATTTGCAGGCTCCATCTATTAGTGGGAGCTGCTTTTTTTTTATCCTTTTTTTTTTTCAATCTCTTTTTTCGATATTGGTGGGAAGCTTCATCTGACCGAAACCGGGTCCAGCGTCGGGACAGAATCTCTTAATCCGTGCATGCGGGACCTACCTTCTTCACCCGAATAGAACGCCCGGTCATTATCGCTGTATCTAGACTGAAACCGGCGTTCTATTCGGGTGGAGACGGTAGAAAGTGATGAACTCATTGATTTAAGTGGACGCATCTAGATCGAAAGTTGGACCAAATGCGGCTGTATCTAGACTGAAACCGGCGTTTTATTTGGGTGAAGACGGTAGCCACTGATAAACTCTTTGATGTAAAGACTTACAGTAATTATCTTTTTTTCCCCCTTAATTATCTATTTTGTTTGAGATCGTCTGGCAAAGACAGTGTTAAGATGACACCATTTTGCCTTATTTATTTATTTATTTATTTATTTATTTATTTATTGATTTATTTATTTCCTTAATTCATTTTTATGTATTTTAAAAAATACATATCTATATAAATATTTATTTATTTATTTACCTGTGTCTTTGATATCGTATCACGCAATCAATCTAAAGATAAGTTAGATAACACCATTCCCTGGCTTGTATAACAAATTTCTTTTCTTTTAGTAAAAAAAAGGATAAACATATAACACCATTTGCTTCATTTATAATCACAAATTTTCACAATATAATAATAATAATAATAATAATAATAATAATAATAATAATAATATATAATAATAATAATAAACTATATAATCGATATATATCGTCACAAACAGAACTGCCCGGTAAACCGTAGGCAGAGAGAGAGAAGATATATATAAAATAACAATAATAGTAACAATATAATAAACTATATAATGCATATTATACTAGTATTAAAGAGAAAGGCCAATTGCTTATCAAACAAGAATGTGTACAAGCGGCCTCGGTCAGTTGATTAGGGAGGCAAGTGGCATTCAGGAGGTCGTGGGCTCAATCCCACTGACCGCCTAGGTACAATTAGTGGCAACCAACTGAGGTAGTTGTTGTCTTGCTCCCCCCAGTCGGTATTGGTTTAGGGTCTTTGGCCATCACAGGGGTGTGTGTGTGTGAGAGAGAGAGGTTGTGTGTGATGTGTGGGAGAGTGAGAGAGAGAGAGAGGGGGAGAGAGAGAGAGAGAGAGAGAGAGAGAGAGAGAGAGAGAGAGAGAGAGAGAG